TTGATTTGCATTAGTGGTGCTCCCCGCACAACACCTACTGAGGCAATGAATACGGTTTTAAACATCCTACCCATAGGTAGCCCTAAGACTACAGGAGCCGCTATCTAGCTCGATGTGATCACACTACTATTCTTGTCAACCGTCAACTACCGAGCACAACGGACTACTGTGTACCAATGTTCACTTTTACTAAAGGTTATATCAAAGCCATACCTAACAGATAATTATGGAGCGAAGGAGTTCCAGGATGATTTATTTTGGAACAAATTTCCATCATCCCTTGTCAAGCTTGGGTTAACAACCCGGTTTCGGCGTTGTGCCATCCAGTTCCAGGATCTGAAGATGCCATAATATTCTACACGGACGGCTCCAAACTAGAAATCAGAGTAGGAGGAGGGGTATACTCGGAACAATTTGGAATACAACTATCTTCTGTCTACCCGACCACTGTAGTTTCTTTCATCCGAATCAACGAAGCTTACGTGGTCGAAATGGAATATACGGATCTCGAGAGAAATCCTCACTCCCAATCTCCCAATAGAGGTGATATGTCAATGGTCATTGGCCTGCGTGCAGGACATATCCTGATAGAAAGGCATGCAGAACGCCTCGGGGTCAGTCACAATGACTACTGCAGGAGCTGCCACGACGAAGAAGAGCCTGAATCAATCAGGTACTTACTCTGCGATTACCCTGCGATTAGGTATAGGTTTTTTAAATGATCTAAGCGCAACTTCAAAGTTTGGAATACGACAAAACAGCACTGTATGGAACGAATTCCAATCAGCTGATTTTTGGCCAATTAAAGTGAGCCGTTTTGTTTGCGGCAACGTTTTCATTGTGCCGTCTTTTATTATTGTAACAGCATACAAATTCCCCAAAGAGTTTTTGGGGAGTATGCTAGAGTAACAGTCGTTGGTTAGATTAGATATAAATCTGGGTCGTTCCGGTTATAAAGACCCGGCTGTCGTGGAAATACCGTCTCGCCATGTTCTGTACGTCTTGTCACTGAAAGCATCCCTACGACGGGGCCTAAATGTGCTGGCGTCCTCTAAAGCTTTGGTTTCCTCGAAAGCGGTAACGTAACTAACTAAGATGATGGCAATACACACTGGTACGTGATTTAACGGCACCGTAATATTTTTGACGGTGACAGTGACGGTGTAGAACTATTTATCAACTTTTTTGGCAACGTCATGTTTGTAGCGGTGTATTAAAAAATTTGTTTACAATTTTTTTACCAAAATAAAATTATAAAGTGGAAAGTGCATGGACGACCGAAGAGGATGAAGTCCTAATTCACTTTGAGAAAAGCAATGAATGCCTATGCACAGAGCTACGTTATATGGAATTTACATGATTCAACTGTCATAGGCAAAGTTGAACGAAAGTGGGCAGCTGGTTAACTTCATTGAAAGCGATTATGTGAAAGATCATTTACACCAGGCAACTGCTGCATTCAACTATTGCCTATAAATCCCCATTACGTTGATCTAGCTTTACACAAAAGCGGTACCGCTATTAGCATGGGGAATAGCGTTCGATATGGTACGCGCGTAATATTACGGTGCCGCTTTTCGAGGAAACTAAAGCTGCCTTTACATGAGGCGATATTTTGACAGGCAATAATCGCCTGCAAAAGTTGACTTGCTGCCTACTTTGAGGCAAGCGATTTTTGAATCACCATTTACACGAGCGATTTTTCTTGAGCAATGTTGAATCGCCTAGAAAATCGCCTCATGTAAATGCAGCATAAAGCTTAAGCCTGGCAGCCACTACAACCTAACCCGACGTTTACATGAGACAATTTTGCCAATGCAATAGCAATACATTCACACCTTTTCCCTAATACATTCACACCGCTCTCATTGGTTTCGTCACTGTCTTTGCTAGTTTGATAAAGAGAGGCAAGACAAAATGGCAAGAAATCGCAGAATGATGAAAAAGTGGTTTGTGTTTGTATATTTTTGTAAATAATATGAAATTCACGCCAAACGACACTAACTTAAAAAATTTATTGGCCCGTAGTCATAGTCAAAATAAAGTCGACTTTAAAGTTAGTTGCAGCTTTTTGACATAATTTTCAATGGGATATCTGTCAAAAAAGCTGCAACTAACTTTAAAGTCGACTTTATTTTGACTATGACTACGGGCCAATATCTTTATAATTGTCTGGACGCCTACTTTACTTGTCTCAAATAGTCTTATGTAAACGCAGCGTAATTTAACCTAATTCTGCATGGACGTTAAATTTAGACATATAAAAAGTATTTTTAAGATAGTTAAAAATTAAAATTAGCTGTATTAAGGTACGACCCCATACATACGTATAAAGGAGAAAAATGTACAATTACGAATTGAGAACCATTGATTTATGAAGGTGCCTAATTTCACTATAAATTAAACTGGCAAACTATTGCAAACACGGTTAAAAAACTTCAGAAATCTGGCAGCACTTATTACAGCACAATTGCTTTTGGTAATCAAGTGGTTGCTGTCATTTTGCAAACGTCATGCGAAGCAACCCTACTGCGTTTCATTTCTGCTACTGAAAAAAAAACATTGTAAACACAAAAAGTGCAATTGTTTACAAAGATTTATTATTCTTCAAAAATATTGAAAAACATCAAATATAATTGCAAATTGAATTGAAGAAAAATTTTTAATGCACAGATGTTGAAAAGCTAGCGTTAAAGGCAGTATTCAACAAAGTGAAGAAGGATGTAAATAAGGGTGAATCTCAAAATTATGCAAGTTGCAAAAAGGACTGTACCACCACTTATGACTGCAAGTTCATTCTATTAGGAATCAACACCATTGCAAAATAGCAAACATTTTTTCATTTGATTGAAAATCAAAATGGATGATAATAATGGTTTGTTTACTACTGAAAAATTAGCGCGCGTAAGTTCCTGTAATTAAACCAATGAAAATGTATTTATATTTACAGTTGTATTGAAAGAAAAACCGACAGAACCGACGGAGTCCCAGATCAACAATAAATTTCATCAAAATGCATCTGCCAAACATTCCGGCCCCTTCTATATCTCCCCCTTACTATTTGACAACAAACGTCTGCGAAGGAAACGCCTACGATGGGCCAAAGCTTTGCTGGTTGCGGCAGGCTTCAAACTGAAACAGAAAAAGACTGAACGAAGTAAACGTGATTTATCCGCTTTACGGCCCGATGTTACAATTGATTTATTGTCGGATGACGAACAAAAGTCTTACAATTCTAATACAGATCAAACGAAAAATGTTTTAATTGAAAAGTCAACATCAAAAGCAATGTCCAATGGGCCACCCCCACTCGTACCCTTATCAAACAAGTCACCGTCATCTAATCAACTTTTATCGCTGGTTTATCCCAACCAGAGCATAGAAATTTCAAAAGTGCCGAATATAACACTTATTCCTGTACAGAATTTAACAAACGCAGCAGCACCACCTATCGCTTCGGTAGCGCCAATGCCACGTCGCGTAAAACGCAAACGTAAATCACAACTACCGAAACGCCATGAACAACCCACTATCGTAAATAATGAAAGTATAGTGTTGAGTGATGATAGTGACATTGAAGTAAGCTCAGCGTTGACGGCAGCAAAAACAAAAAAACATGCCATCAACGCCTTGGATTCGCCAGTGTCAACAACAGCAACTGGAACCTTGCCTTCAGCAACATTGGCGCACATGTCGCCACAATCTCAATCACCACCCACGCCCTCGAAACCCACCAAATATCCTACACTTTTAACGCCTTACAGTGGACAAGTCGATGAAGAAGTGACCGTTTCGATTGTACCTCGCTCCTCATCTGCGGGCGCATGTCCCAAGGCGGAAGCCAACGAATTATTTCCTATGCTGCCCGATGAAACCACTGTACATACAGTAATCGCGAATCGTACGTATGAACTATCACTCACAAAATTGCGAGAAGGCCTTGCCTCATGTGGTATACCAGAATTTGCTAATGGGCAGCAAAAAGTGACGACAACGCGGCGCAAGGGTCAAATAGTAGATACGCCACCAATGGTTTCGCCTACACCGGCGCCGATTTCACTGAAATTATCCAGTGATTTAAGCATTTCATTGATCTCAGATGACGATGATGACATCCTCGAACAACAGCAGCAACAACGTCTAGCTGCAGAGAGCTTATTACAAAAACAGCCACAACTTATGGTGCAACACTTGCAACTACCAGCGGGGGGAATTTTGCCTTCGGGTGCTAATGTGGCGTTGGTTGGTCCGCCCAGGATGGCTCCGCGCCGCCGAAAACTCTGTTGAATAGTGCTCTACAGTCGGGTACAAAGCGAGTAAAGCTAAAATGTGTATAATGTATTTTCAAAAGTGCATAGCTGCAATGAAAAAAACAACTAGACAAGCTAGTTTCTTATCACCTCATTGCTTTTACATACGTACTATATTCCCTAAACATTTTACACGTCAAAGGCTTTAATGAATCATTGCACCGCAACCTAATCGTATACTTTCCAGAGTCTAGAATTAGTAGCGTTGAATTAATTTTGGAATTATAAAAATTTCTGAATGAAAAAACATTAAGTTAATTGAATACTTTTAGGTTACAATTATCGAACTACCTTTTATTTATATACTATTTGAAGCCAGTATAAATCTACTATTTTAAGTATAAATTTGACAGCCTTGTGCTAGGACGTTTTTAAACTCGTAAAGTTCGATTACTGAACATACGTCGTAAACACATAGTATTTGTATTTTTTTTTTTTAAGCACATAATTGGAACTCTGCATATATCAATGAAATTTTTTTTACTCTACTCACGCTTCGAAAATCTTAAAAAAAATATGCATAGAAGAAATAACGTACAAAGTATTTAGACGTTTTTGTAAAGTGATACAGAAAGCTTACATAAATGCTTATTTACGGGCATACATATATTTAAGTCAAACTTATGTACATACACACATATATAATGAATAAATATCATATATGAATATTTAAGTGAAAAGACAAACAAATACATGATCCTATGTTTGGTATTTCATTTATTTTACAATATTACAGCTACGACTTAAGGCAAAACACATTAAAACAAAATTTTTATTTCTTTCTACTGCCACCACGTTTCCGTCCATAATCGAGTTCACTACAAAGTAATGGATTATCTTTTTGACTTTCATACGCGGCCTTTGCTGTAGAATGGTAGCCGCGAGGTTGTTTAGAAACTCGCGTTGCTGCGGTTGTTGCCATCCGTTTTAAAGCTTTAGGCACAATGTACTCTGGTACATGCGATAAATGTGGCTGCACTTTAACTGTCTTTAAGGGCTTGTCATGCCGTAGTACTTGCAGGTCCCGGGTGTTGTCACTGAAAAAGCCTTTCAACTTTTCGCTGTTAAAAATCTCTATTCTGATTTCACGCATGCGTGCTTCATGCACTGCAATGCGCGTGACTGCTCGCCAGGCATCTTGCGCGCGATAACGAAACGGTTCGACTTCCTCCAACTTGAATTGATAATTTCTGGAAAATTGGCAGTATTACTATACATTTTTTAACAATTTATGTATGATTTATCTTACCTTATAATTTGATTATCGCTCAAATAACCCCTGCGTAATCTCTCCTCAACTGCTTCATTTGCTGCTTTGTCCTTTAGGCTGACAAATGATAGTACGCTGCCTTTATTTGTGCCTCGAGCCGTACGTCCAGCGCGATGTATATATGAGTTCACGTCCGTGGGGAAATCGAAATTGATTACATTCGAAACGCAGTGAAAATCTATTCCCCGCGAAGCTCCCGACTCACGGTCACTTTTATTTCGGCCAGGATTTTCCAGCATACGCTCATCAGAGGCAATAATAAGATCGTAGATACCCTGATTGAATTGATTGATTGTATGTATGCGTATTTTGGTTGGTAGCTCCGAGTTCAATACGCACGATTTAATTTGAAATTGTTCCAGAAATAGTTTAAGTCTGAAAGCAAGCAAAATTCATAGCTAACGTAAATAACAATTTTTATAGAGCAAAATCGAGCTTATGTTAACTTGTATCAGAGAGAAGATTAGTCTAGTAAATCATGTGTGCGCCAACGTCCCAATAGATGTTGCGCATTCATCTATAATCTAAAACTTCATCATGCAAATTTCTTACAGAATACATAGCTGAACACCAACTTACTTATAGCAGCGGTCAACTGAATTAACAAAAATTACATTTTTGCCACGTATTAAACGTAATTTCAATAAAGCATATAAAATTGCCGGCTTGTCATTTTCTTCGGCCGATATACGCTGATGAGATAGCTGACTTTCGGGCACTAGATCTGGCTCTTCCAACTTTAGTACAACTGGATTATGCAGCACAATGTTTTTCATGTTCATGACATCGTCTGATATTGTTGCGGACACAAGAACGGCCTGAGTAAACAAATATAGTAATTAAAAGCACATATAAACATTTTCTCTTTTTCTTACACACCTGATAAATTGGTGGTAGATATTCGACTAACTTTTTAAAATCTTTTTCAAACCCAAAAGAAAATACCAAATCCGCTTCATCAACTACCAGCATTTCTATTTTCTTTAAATCCAATACTCCCGACTCTATATGCGCAAGCACCTTTGCAGGTGTGGATATCACTACATCCGGACGCTCAGACAGCACGTGCCTTTGAGCAACAACATCACTGGAAGAAAGATCTACTATGCGTAATACTTTCCCACATTTATCAGCCATTTGTTCCATTGCTGTACGCGTTTGCTGACATAATTCTTTACTTGGGGAAAGCACAAGAGCGCTGGTACATTGCTCCGAAGCATTTAATTTTGAATTGAGCAACTTCTGCAACAAAGGCAATGCAAATGCAGCTGTTTTTCCAGAGCCAGTACGTGCTCGCACGACTACATCTTTCCCTTCCAAAAGCAATGGTATAGCAGCTTCCTGGATAAGTGTCGGCTGCAGCCAACCCATTTTGGAAATGGCCTACAGATGGTTTTTAGTAGTAATCACACAATGCATATTGGAAATTAAGAATCGCTTATGTACTTACTTTTAGAAGTCGTTCGTCCAATTCCATTTCATGAAATTGTAGTCCATGCTTTTCCCCACCCATTGTGCGGCTATTTAGAACAAGTTTAGTGGCAATTATTTTTAAAGTATGTAGTATGTAGACCGTCCCTACAAACAAATGCACGTTTTCGTCCAAACAGTAGAGGTACGCGACGGTCGATAACGATATCGATAGTTTTTATTTCGGCGCCATCGATATTAGTCGATAAAAAAATTATATATATAAAATCTCACATCATGATTCAATAATAAACAGGTTTGCTCAGAAAACAGTTTTCTCGGTTCCGCTTGTCAAAATCGGCTCCCGTGGCAAGCCACTGTGTGTGGGTGCGTGTACGTTTTAACCTTTGTAAGGGAGCTAAGGAACTGTCAAAACTCTAATGTCAGTTGTGAGCAAACCTTTAATTATCGAATCATGATCTCACATAACCTAGAATTTATTCAATTAAATTAAAAACCTCCAAGCCTCTTATTTCAATGACAATTCAAAAATTTTCATATATTAAAAGAGTACGATTTCACAAAATCTTAATTTGAAATCGATATTACTATCGCTAGCGTGAAGGTGAATAACAAAAATATCGGTAGTTTGATACTTCTAGGAAAAAGTGGTCACGGTTGCCACTTTAGTAAAATGTTACCAAAATTGGTAACTTTTATTCTGTTTTGGAAATTGGTAACTTCCGAACTCATTTGGTAACTTTCAGACAAAATGCTTAAAACATTAAAATATTTTTGAATAAACTTTGAATAAAATTACTTACACTTAACTAATTTCTTATTGAATGAATTTGTTTTTGATGATAGGTACGAAATTGTGATTTATGATTGGCGATATGCACACATCTATATATTCATGAGGAGTTAGAGTTTTGGTGTAGGCTGCGGTTTTTCAAATCTAGAAGATTATTATTTGAATTTTTCCACCAAAAACTGTCTAAACGACATGCAGACGTGATTTTAGTAATAACCTGTGGGATAATGAAGCTATTCTTGCCTCAAAGGATATTTATTTTCGTATTTCATAACAGTTTATTTAGAATTTTAAAGTTGGTTTATTGATTTAAAGTATATTTAAAATTGCTTTAAAAAAATAAATATTTATCATGAAATATATTTAAATTTAAATAAAAATAACAGGAATTGGCCTAAGGGATGGAGATCTATAAATCAATGATTTCACTGGATCACAAATTAATTAATTTTTATTCTGCCCCTATTTAGAAGAGCTCACTGATTCCGAAAGTTTAGTAAATTTTTGTTCCTGTGGAAAAAGTGGTTGCACTTTAGAAATTGTACTGAAAATAAAAATAGGTTTTTTTGCTTGTAAAAAACTGTGTATGTTTTTTAAAGTAGTTTAGAACAGGTTTTTCACATTTAACTACTACAGCGTACCAGTGCTGCTGCTGTCACTTCAATTGAAGTTTTTCACTTCACTTCAGAAGCCTTCACTTCGTCACTTCATTGTACTTCACATTCTACAAATTTGATTTATCCTTAAATTAAAAGAAAATTTTTTTGAAATAAATGATTTATTTAACTAAAATCAAGTAGTAAGTGTGGCAAAGTAAATTTCGCAAAAAGCTACTAAAAATACGCCTAATAAATCTCCGATCTGGCATCGGTGATTTGGAAGAAGTCATTTTGATTTTCACTTTCGCATGTATTAGAACTACGCACAGAAATGAATGGGGGATAAAAATTCATAATTACATATTTAGTAAATATTTGAGGGAAATAACAATTATATTTTAGTTTTCATACATCTTTGATATTATATCAAAAATGAAACATTTAAGTGAAGCTCATGATACGTTCTTTCCCTAACAATCCGGACCGGATCCGGTAATAAAAGAATAAGCGAAAAGTTTGCTCTCAAAGATGGAACATAATCCAAAAGTACGGGAACGCAAAAAACTACATTTCGTGCCCAGAATTTGAGAAACAGTTGATTCGCGTTGTTTTTGTTTTTGTCACTTAAATGCAAACTCTTGGAAATTGAATTTCTGTTTCACAAATTTGATTTTAAGAATATAAATATTGAAAATACATTCACTATTCCTTAAAAGCACCAAGTAAATGCATGCAACATGTAAACACAAAACAGCTGATATGCACTTTGACGCTTTATCCATTTTTAACTGGAGAAAAAGTGCGGGCTGTTTCGGGCAGAAAGAAGAATACACTTACAACCCAATACGTTCCAATTTTCGCTCTCTATTACCCATTTTGTTGAGTACGGGAATGATTTCTAGGCTATTTCGGGCACCCGAGGGATCCCCCGTTGGGTACGGGAAAGAACCTTATGTCGTTTTTGCTGTGTATTTGGTGAGTTATAACTTTTGATTTTCTTTCCTCAACGTTTGAGACATTGTGATTTTAAAAATATTCCAGCACTAAATTTGCACAGGAGCATAATAAATTAAAATTAATAAAGGTTTAAATTACTTTTATTGTGGTAACAAAATAATCGATTAACCAATCAGGCGATAAATAACCTAATCGAAAACCCCCAAATTCCTAATTGTCGTCAACTCGATAATCACTTCACTTTCCCTCCCAAGTCACTCATGAACCAAAAATACAAGATCACGTAAGAACGCGACGTTGTATTTGTAACTGGTTTTGAGAAAAAAGTTTGCGAAAGCGGGTTCGTCAGCTGGGCGTTTGTTTACATAACAAGCACCACTATTTTACACTTTTATTCAAGTAAAGAAGAGTTAATTCAACATGACAACACATTTTAAAGCATTTTGTTGCATAATTTTACCTAAATTATGCGTTTAAAGTGGCTGACAATAATTTTGGCTAATTTTGGTTTTCGTTGTTTTCTTTGCTTTGTTTACTTTTCGCTCGTTTTCCAGTGAAACAAGATGGCGTAGAACCCGCTAAAAAAATCGACTTTTTTCACTCTCTTGTTCTTACGTGATCTTGTGTCTTTCGTTCATGCAAGTCACTCCCAAAACACTTCCCTTATATCGTGTTTTCACTTCGCTCGAAAATTAGCAAACGACAGCACTGCAGCGTACGGTTCGTTGATGTAGAAAAAATTGTTAAAATAATAAAAGAGTGTTGAAGTCAAGCTACTAACAAAGATAGATAGATCGATAGATAAAAAAACAGTTGCGTGGCAACTTTCATATAAGCTTGAAAGAGTAAATGTAACGCCCATTGTTTATTACAAAAGAAAAAAGGTTTTTAATACTTATAGTAACTTTTTGCTAATCTTTTTAAAATAATTTGGGAACATTTTTTCTAAGTGTGTGGCAACCGTGAAAGTGGTCCACTAGACAGTGCTGCCAAACCAAAATACAATATTAGTTTTGTTTCTTCACAGATAGTTATCACAATTTATTACTTGTTTCTGGAAAGCGTAGGGTTTCTGCACATTGGTCGTCCAATCATAATTGCTTCATCTTCGTAATCATGATGCAACGATTACATGACGACTACACTTTCGCACACTCGGTCGTGATATCTCAATTCATTTGGCGTCTAAAAACCCACTTGGAACAGTATTTTCTGTTTTTCTGGTTGATATTTTCGCGATATATATACAAAAACCCGCAATTTTTAAAATATGGACTGTGCTGCAACAATTCTGGACATAATTTTTCAGTAACAACCAGTTACAAGTTACGACAAGTGTCCAATTCAAGTGTTCGTCTCTTGGACCGCAGCTATCAATATTCCATGCCTTTTGTGATATGGGGTGTTAAAGAGTAGTGTTGCCTGCCGGCCGCTGCTGCATGTGCTGCCTTGTGGTGGCGGTGGCGGCGTCGCGGGGAAATTTGGGACTCGGCAGCACAGCAGGGGCCCACGTAGTCACTCGTCCAATCACGCGTATTGCGAAGACCTAAGCATGCCATTAAGTGGCACCAGCCAAGGCAGGAGTTGCACTTGACTGATGTCACGTTTCGTTATTTTCTGGACTCCCAAACCAAGCAGATTGTCAGAGGGACTAGGAATTGCCGGCGGCGGTTTGTGGGTGCTGTTGTGTTCGTTAGTGTTTCTATTGTTGTGTCATGTTGGGGTGTGGGTGTGCTGGTGTTGTGCTGCTCCGGGGAGCGGTTTGCCGTAGAGACGATCCGATTCGCACAGCATGGGGTCGCGAATGACGTGGTCCATTGCCGGTGCGTACGTAGGCCCGAGTAGCTGCGGAGATGACTCCATCCGTCACAGGCGTTGAGCCCGACCGAGGGGGAGTTTGTATGCAGTCGTCTCTGGCATACTACGCATCAGGTGTAAATTTCTGGCCCTCGGTTAGACTCTATGCCAGCCCTGAGCAGAAGGATACGGATCTGATGTAGCTAGCCCCATTTTTGAACAATTGTTGATGGATTTTGCCGACCTAAACGGAGTTGGGTCGCCGAAACATCAGCCCTTGGTCGGAAAAAGCTCGAGTCATTTCAGTACGTAGAACCGGCTGTCGTGGTAATGACGAGTTTCTTAAAGCGCAGTTACACACGGACGTAAAAACGGAGAACGTGTCAGCTGAGATGATCTATTTTATTGGATCTGCGTGTTAACGAAAACTCACCACCGCATGACCGTGCCGACGCATGCGAGATCCCACACGTGTAGACCGCAAAAAGTACGAAGCATACTTTTTTCTCGCATACCGAGCGTAGTATGACAAGTATTTTCTCATCTCACAGAACTCTTCAGAGTAAAAACCTCCGTTATTTTAGTGGAAAATACAAATTTTTCCTGAAAAGCTCGAACCTTCTTTTTGAGCGACATTTTACAAATGAAAGAGTATGCTGTCAAATGCCCAATCAACAAAACTCTATCTCGCTTGCGAGAGAAAAAAGCAGAGCGCAGCAAGATTTTCAAGCATGTGAAGACAGCCGGTTAGTCAGTGAGGCATCTCATCTATACACGATGGAGAGAACAAAGGTGGCGCCCATCTCGGTACCGCTATTCCGCTCTTTGTATGACGTCACACTTGTGCAACTTGTTTACGCTTTCCTTGCAACTTTTTTTTTTTCTTCTTTTTCCATTCTTGCTCGCGTTTTGGCGTTTCTCTCTCGCAATTGCAACAGTGTGACGCCATACGAAAGATATTCTCAAAAATCTTCTCTGATGGGCGCAATCTTGTATTCTATCATTCTTGATACAAATATGTATGCATATTGTTAATAAATGAAAATTGGGCTTTTTTCTTTCGAAAGCTACTGAAGCAAGTTTTCCTGTAAATTCGCTATAAATTTTGGTGATGGACTCCAAAATCGTCATTCGCATGAAGGAATCAATATTAGTGACATGCGAAATTCAAAAGTGCATGAGAAAATATATCAAATAGCCACTACTGGGCGATACCAGGATCAAGAATTGGCTTATAGATATATTTTGAATTCATAATGAGATTACGAAATTTCATTTAATCTGTGTAAAATAGTATTATACTTCTGTCTGTGCTACCAAATCACCACGCTTGGAATGGTGCTGCCAACTCCGCAAACTACGTAGAGGAACTGTCAAATGGGTTTATTTACATTTTTCTATGCAATTGCCACCAAAAAAATTGTTCGCCGGTTGAACGAATTGTTAATTATTTTTAAATAGTTAAAAAAATCTAAAGTATTTGTATGCATTTTGTTCAAATGACAACTTTTCGTGCTTTACTTACGGATAGCGCCCGTGTTGGTTTCATTATGGGCGCCGGCGACGTTATTAGCCAGACATGGGTGGAAAAAAGAGATCTTCGAAACATTGATGTGAACCGTATGCTGAGATTTGCCTCCGTGGGAATTATATTTGTCGGTCCTGTATTGAAAACTTGGTACGGAACTCTTGATAAATTTGTACCAAAGACGGACCCGCCATTTAAGCGCGGATTAAAGAAAATGGCCTTAGACCAGCTAGTTTTTACCCCAGGATTCGTAGCAAGTGTGCTGGGCGTGATTGGCTTGGCAAATGGCCAAACACGAGCACAAATAAAGGAGACTCTAAGAGAAGATTACTTTATGATTTTGAGTAGAAATTATATGCTTTGGCCAGCTGCACAAATTATTAATTTCTCAGTGGTTCCAATTAATTACCAAGTTTTGTTTGCACAGTTTGTAGCTGTTATATGGAATACCTACCTGTCTATGAAGCTGAACGAGGAGAAAAAGTAATTTTTAGCCAACAAACTGCCTATTAAAGATGGACTTATCCTTGCTATAACGTAAAACGCCGTAAGGATAGAGAATGAAAACATATAATACATAGCTTTAATACAATACTCAAAATCTAGAGAAAATTTTTTTACAAATGTAAATATGTAATCCGAATACGTATAATGTAAATCTTATGCTAACATACTTTTGTAACAAATAAAACATAATTTAGAAGGCACTTGTTAATAAATACACATATGTAGATATAACCAAAGAAACTCGTTACCAAATTGCCATTGTAAAATCTGCAAAATATTTTTGAATCCATATTATTTGTAAAAGAATAATCTGCAAAATCAAATGACCTTTGAAAGACCTGCAGTGGGATTCTAGAAACCGCACGTTAATTTTGTTTCGTTAAAAATCTCCAAATGAATAACGTATAAGCCAACAAGCAATGTGAAAGAGGAAGTGGTTCAATACAATGTCGTTGTCATTAAGGATATGTTATGTTTAAACTGGATTTTTATGCAAAATACGGACCCTAGAAAAATATACCATGTGACTATAAACAAAGTGTATAAATTTCTGTACATTTTGTTTATAGTTTAGTGGTATATATTTTTTATGCTCCGTTTTCTGCATAAAAATACGCGGTCTAGTTATGTTGCCCTGGCGGCGTTGTATATTTTTAGAAACAACCCTTATTCATCTGGTGCTAAAGAGAAAACAACATAGTTCAGTTTACAGATGCTTCACTTTATTTTTTATAAAAATTTGTAATTTTGTAACCGTATGCACCCTGTTGCGCTTACTATGATAACTTGGCAGCACTCCTGTTACAGCTGACTTCCACAGCCAAAGACGCGCCCGTCGAAAGTATAAAGTATCGTGATTTTAGTAAATGCGTAAAATTACGATTTATTTAATACTTAACTTAATAATTGTACAGAATAAGTTCAGAAATAAAAAATGTCCTCCAATCGAGAGGTTGTGTCCTTACAGTTTGGCAACTACGCGAACTACATTGGAGCACATTGGTGGAATATTCAGGTGACACTGAGAATTTTAGAAGCACTTCCTTCCTGTCCAAATGTTTAATAAATTAAGAATTTTATATTTTGTACAGGAGTCCAGTTTCAATTATAATCCTGATCACGGTCCTTCTGAAATAAATCATGACGTGTTATACAGGGAAGGAGTAAATTTGAACGTAAGTGCAGTGAATTTACCATGAATATACTTATATATATATTTTATATATCAATTTCTTTATTATAGAAGCAAGTTACTTACACTCCACGTTTACTACTTGTAGATTTGGATGGTTCCCTAAAGCATCTACCACGGGAGGGTGAACTTTATGGCAATAGTATTAAACGTACACCACACAGCGATGCTAATAGCGAAGATGCTGTAAAGAAAATCAAAGAAGACCTCCAAAATATGAGCACAGACTTAGAAGTCGTGCAGCAGCCGCAAGCTCCGAAGCACGAGTTTCAGAAAGATCTCGAAAATCCTGTTGTCAATATTCAAGAAAAGGAGTACAATTTAACAGACGATGTAGAAACATGGACAGACTATCTTTATGCACGCTACCACCCACGCACTGTAAATGTAGTCAACGAATATAAACATGATGCAGAGAAGCAAACATTTGATACATTTGCTTCTGGTGTACAGCTTTGGAAAACAGAAAAGTTCGAGGACGAATTTTGTGATAAAATACGCCAATACGTAGAGGAATGTGACTTTTTGCAGGGATTCCAAACTTTATTTGACTGCTTCAATGGGTTCTCGGGATTAGCCACAGAATGTCTAGAGCACCTGAATGATGAGTATGGCAAAGCCAATTTTGCGATTCCAGTGTACTCACCTCGAAATACGCTATTTAAAAATGCTGGTACGTATGATAACAACCACCACCTAGATCTAAAGTGAGCTCACCAAAAATTTAGAGAGGGAAATCAAACTGCTTGTGGATCGAACAGATTCAACTCAATTAATACAAAAACAGGTATAACAGTAGTTTTTTAGTTAATGTATATAATCACGAAGAAAAAAAATATTTGCATAAATTTGATGTAAGTTCTAAATTTTTTTTTTGAATTGATCGCACTTTAGATGTAGGGGTGCGATATATGAATGTACTATGTATTTAGATTATTTAAAATTTGTTTACACCGCAGATGCGGCTATGACAGACTCCATAAGGGTAGTAAACAGCGCATTGACGTTCCACAAATTAAGCGAGCAAGCATCGTTGTTTGTGCCGCTGGGGACATGTGACCGCGTTTGGCGACAGTTTGGCGCAGCACGTCAGCTACCGGCACTTAATTATCAAGCAGATAATTTGTATCAAACTTCTGCCGTGCTAGCCGCATACTTAGACACAATCTCGCTACGTTATCGTTTGCGCAATGCGCCTGGCGCATACTCGCTTCCTGCTTTTTGTGGTGATCTAAATAATTATGGACGTAAATTGGCTGCTGCCGCTTTTGCGTTGCCTTTCGCCATGCAGCATGACCAATACTTAATTGATTGCTTGGACAAGTTTGAAGGTCCAATATTCACATCACTCACACCAAATTGCAGCATTGGCACTGATTATATTATACAGTCACTCTGTGTGCGTGGTATACCGCGCGAACGTCTCAAGCGACCATTGGAGAAGGCGAAAGAGCAAATGCGCATGGCAGCTTATAAGTGCGATAGTGTGTCCGAAATGTTTCAACTATACCTGCAGTGTGCAAATCATGCGAGTATGGCGCATGTTGCATCAATATCGATGGCCATGCCAACGCGTATACCATTTCCAAGTGAAATATTCGCTGAAGACGTAACGAAATTAGGCTTTCTCTCAGCGACAACAAAACGGCAAACCGATGAAAAAGTGATCTCTGTGCCGACGCTAGCAGCAGTACAGTCGTCCAGTGAGTTAGGCGAGACTTTAGAAACACTGTACCGCGAAGCAAAACGCGTAAAAATAGCAAAATTGCATCGCTATAAAGCGGCAGGCTTGGAGCAAGATGAGTATGCGGAAGCGCTCGAGCAGTTACTGCTCTTCAAAGACAATTATGAAGATAACTTTGAATTGTAGCACAAGCATGAAAACATTATAACACAAAATTTAAACAGTAATTGGTTTGATGTTAAATTCAGAACCCGAAAAACGGAATCAACTAGTTTTACATATAGTGCACTAAAAATATTGAGACTAAGCTAGTTACAATTACAATACAATAGCCATAAAATAACAAATAAAAGGTAAGATAAGTAGATTAGCATAGTAGTTAGATAAAATTAAATTTTTTTTTATTTGGTAGGATCTGCAATTTACTTACGAATGAGTTTCAACCAAAGCTACTTTGAATTCAAGTTGAATGGGAGTGAATTACAGAACCTGCCAGTATATCTTAATTCTCGAAAAACTGTTCATACAAAATAAAACACTTACATTCATCTATAAATTCTGAGATAGGCCGTTCTTCAACCAAATTCTGAATATGGCGTTCTTGAACAAATATTTGAGATACGGTCTTTCGAATTGGCTGCCGAGGTAGGTCGATCTTCCACTCAGTCGTCGTTATATAAAAAACAAACAAGATTCCAAATGCTGTCTACAGGCCCGACGGGAAGGAGAGGGGATCGTTAACTTTTTCCCCCGGGCCCGGAGTACACAAAAGATGTTTAGCATAAAAATTATAGATTTTCATGATGAAAGGAAAGGATACTACTAAAAAATTGTATACACATAAAACAAGTGAAATATTATTTACTTTCGACCAATTTATTGGTTCAGTTGAACTCTTGGATAGCAACCTCTTTTCTTTAAGTTTTCTTTTCTAGGGGCACTAAACTGTCTGCTTCTCTCAATCATGAAAATTCACTTCATCCTGAGACACCTTTAAATTAATGAAAATTAAAAAAAACATGAAAAGAGCATTGAAAATATGAAACTAATGGGTAGTTTACATTTAAGGAGCACCATTTTTATACCCGAGCGCACATGTGCACAATGGTAGTATAATTTTGTTTACATAACGGTTGTTTGTAACAGCCAAAACAAATCGAGATAGATATAGACAAATGCATACATAAATGATCAGAATGAAAAGAGATGTCAATTAAGTCATGTCTGTCTGTCCGCTATATGTAGGTTCCTCTTTATCCAAGGTAGGTTGGTATTGAAAATAAAAAAAATTGGACTGTAACCACGCCCACTTCTCATATAACGGTATTTTCGAAAAATGCAAAACCTACGATATTTCAGTAAATATTCAATCTAAATTGTTGAAAATTAGTGTGTGAAGTAGCATTGCGGTGAAAAATAATATTATGAAATTTTTGGAAAATGGGCGTGGCACCGCCCACTTGTGATGAAATGCTGTATCTCAGTAGCCGCTTCACCAATCCTTACAAAACTCGGTCCGAGCCTTGCTTATGGTCACACTAAGAAAACTGTTGAAAATCTTTAACATCGGGCAATAACCGCGCCCACCTCCCACATAATGGTAACCTGCAGAAGCTCAATAAATAATAATTATTGAAGCTAATTCACTCAAAATCGATGATTGCAATAATCACTTAGCAGAAAATCTGATTATTATACATTTTTGGATAACGGGCGTGGAGACGCCCACTTAGGACCACAAATGTGTATCTCGGTAACCGATTCATCAAATTCAACCACAATTGGTCCACCTTGTAATCTTGGTACGGAAAAGCAATTTGTTGAAAATTACTCAAATCGGAATAAAATTAAACCCCCTGCCCGTATAACGGTAAATTTCAAAAATACGAAAACTCCGATATTTTAAAAACTGAGGGCACTAATTTTTCTAAGTTAATACTTACAACAATCTCTTAACAATAAATACGACGGTTATAGGCTTTTAGAAATTATGCGTGGCACCGCCCACTTTATGATTAAAAAGATATATCTCGGTAACCGCTTTATCGATTTCTACCAAACTTGGTTCAATGATTTCATTAAGTCAGCATATTATCGAAAACGTTTGAAATCGGGAAAAACAGCACTGCTTATCATGCAAAGGTAGTTGAGAGAAAATTGAAACGACGATATTTGATACCTGCGCCGGGTATATAAAATTCGGTTTCGCCCGAACTTGTACTTCTTTACCATATATTTGCCATATATTTGCTTCTCTTGTCTTGCTTTTTGTATTACTTTTAGTTATTTAAAAAGTATTCGAGAAAAAAACAGCGATTAGCCCTCTATATGAAAATGAAGGCGGCTGTGTTTTTTAATGTAATGTAACAGTCCAAAATATCAAAAAGTTTTTTGGCGCGGAAACCACCAAAACTTGGTTTTCTTCGAGCATTTTCGGCCTTCTTTCACAATAAAATAAAATAGTTCCCCGTACTCTTCATAATCCATGTGTTTTCGGTGGAAAACTATTTGTAACGTAACAGTATTTTTTTCTAATTGAACTTTCAGATAATTTATTTATTTTTTTTATTAAGAGATAGGGATAATTTTGCAAGCAACATTGTAAGCTATTCAACGTGATATTACGTAGAAATATATTATTCCAAAAAGGAACGAGTCCAAAAGAAGTGAAATAAGAAGTTAAAGAAAAAA